CCCCATGATTTGTGGGTCTGTTTTGCGTCTTTTAATATTTTGCGTCATGTTTATCAATATGGATTCCTAGCATAAGCAAGGATTCTTCATTTTACGTAAGCTATATTGTGATTTTTAACTTTGATTAGTGTAGCTATTAAAGGGACCTCATTGTGTTTATAATCCACGTTTTTCTGTGCAAGAATTATCAGAAAAAAATATTTTGCTGCAAAAATGCCACTGAAATATTTACATTTCTCACAGTGTCAAGGCTTTCACCATTCAAGTTCTGCATTTATTGGTTTTAAAGATTGCTTTCAGTCAGTAAATTAGATTGAAACGAGGATAAAAAAGTTACATCAAAGAACAGTACCAAACACCCCTCTTTTATTACCTGCCAGGTGAGGCCATTATTTAAACTTTATTGGTGCAGATTCTTTTTATTATACAAGCATTTTTATGCAATCAATACAACCATAAAGGTCTCTCTTTTTTTATATAAACATTTTGCTATTTTTTCATGCAGAATAACATATTGTTATACAAGATTCACATAACACTCTATTGAAAGAATGCTGTTTTTTGAATGATTTCCATCCAGTGAGGCTTTTGAAAAACATGTTGTTGTTTTTTTCATTGAATCTTTTGATCCACCTTTGAAAAAATATGGAAATTTTAAACAATGAAAAATATCAATGTACCTTGGCTGAAGAAGGGAACCAATCAAACTTAACTAGTGTTACATAGACTATATGGATCATGTTATGGTCCATTTTTCTTTCAATTAATGACAGTATAATGATCAAAAGCAGAATAAATGGCTTGTATCTTGACCAATATCATATGAAAGGAAATACAAGTACTTAAAAAGTTCGGGAAAAAAGGAATTTATATATATTTATTACCTTATAATAGGTTGGGTTTAAAACATTCTAAAATAAAATCAATTTCGACATTAACCCAGATGTACTTCTGATAAAATTTTTGACTTGCAATAACCATTATCTTAACGAAGATAATTGATTAATAACCTATGCTTGCTTGTCTCTCCCTTGATTGATAATTGCAATTTTCCTTTCCAACATCCTCTGTATATGTTCAAACTAATAAAATCCATCTGAAGTATCACGTCACATGCTGTCACAGTAAAACAACGTACCCAGGTATCCCAGCAACCTTTGACGTAAATGTCCACTACCCGTGCGTCTCTGATTGGGTTTTCGAAAAAAGTGTACGTTTCTTAGATCATGTTTCCTTAATTCCAATAGGAAAACTCCGATTTCACAGAGATAGGGAAATGTCATAGGGTTATACCTGCCAGGAATTTTTTGTATCAAATGAATTTTTTCTTCTTTTTTTCCAAACAAAAAACATCATCAAGTTGAGAGTTAATATAGAATTAAGTATCACAATTTTTTTTTTTTTCACAAAACTTTTTCTTGGTATTTTACTCAGCATTGCTCCGAATTCTTTTGCATTTTTTTTTCTTTTGTAATTTTATATTATCAAAAACAAGTTACTTAATGCCCATTAATACTCATTTAGAACCTTTATTTTTTAATTATTTAAAACTGAAGAAGAAATGCGGAGACAATCAAAATAGACCTGATAATTAACAGTTCGTAGTTTATGAGTGGTTGATCAATTATCCACTCTTGTCTCTCCCTGTGATAAATACAGGACATGACGTCAATTTGCCCTCATTCGTGACTTCAAACACATAAGTCCATCGTTCCCTAGAAATAACAAATCATTACAAATATCGAATGTGACAGCTATTATTTAAACTCTCAGTTCTTCCACACTTAGACTAGACAAAATAAATTTATATACATCTTTCTGCTTCATTGTAAAATTCATATTTGATAACAAAATAAAGTTTTATAAAGCTTATAAGACTTAATTAGTCTTATCTTTAACTTTTTTTCTTTTTTTTCGTAGTGATCAGCTGCAGATTCCAGACAATATGCACTCGGCAAACTGAGGGACCCCTAAATGACCCCAAGATTTGCCTTGATAGAAATGGATATACACTGTATTATATGTAATAAATCATTTCCACTTGCTAAGTACCAGCTCTCTACAGCGATTCTAAAAGGCAAAACTTGACAGTCGAACAATTGCAAAGATCATATATAATAAAACCTGCTTTTAACATCGATTTTTTTAACTATAATAAGGAAACATAAACTGGATAGATTTGACAAAATTCAATGCATGTGATTATCTGATGACTTAAGGGTTTTACTGGATTACATTTTTTTAAAAATCAGTTTGATCTCTACTAATTTGAAAATTTACATTTGTTATCTCTTACAGCAATTTTTCCCTATAAAATGTTTTAAAAAGATATTTCACATTTGAATTTAATTTCTAAAATGAAAAAAAAACTTCTTAAGGTTCACTGACCCCTTTGGTAAGAGAGATAACTCTTACTGCATGGTTTAGATGACTATTATTCCTTAATAAAATCATTGATTAAGCTAAGAGACCATTAATTGCCCTACAAGGTATGCCGAAAAAATTATATCCTTTCAAATAAAAGTTAATGTCAGACATCATCTTTAGGAATTAAAACAAAATAGAACAAATTATTGCAGCAATAAAAAAAAAACATCATTTAAGTTACAGTTTACATGAACAAAAGTAAAAAAAAAAGTTCACATAAATGATACATGCTATGATTTGAACAATACAATCCAGCATTGTTTAAAGCTAGCAGCTTTTCCACCATTTATCTTATTCAATTCACGATGAAAATGACAAGTATAGAAATACAGATTCATGTATTGATGTAACATTTCCGCAACATGCTCATTCAAGTTCTTCGTCCAGCTAGGTTAAAAATACACTGGTAGCACAGCTGGGATATCCTTGGACCCTGAATAGCAGTTAATTTGTATTGTACATGAATGTCACTTGGAACATTTTTGTTGAACTTTGAACATGTTATATCAAACTGTTTCAATCCTCTTACTTTGCATGGCTTGATTCATTATACCAGAATACATGCAGTTAAAACATGATTAAAGAAAACACTTCATGGAATTCAAGGACTGCAACCAAAATTTCATCAATTATGGCACAGTTGATCTCATATTTCTATGAAGATATAAAAGTTGAATTGATCACTCACCAAGACATTTTAGTGGTTTTTTTTTTTTATCAATACATAGAGCTTGTTTAACATGTATTATGATACTGTCAAACCTTATTAACTGGAACTTAGTAAAAAGATGAAAAATGTGTCTGAGTATTCAAGATATGAAGGGTAATACATGTATACTAAACAGAGTTAGTGGTTGAATCTTCCAAATCACTTTGACATATCTATGGTACTGTGGAATCATTTTAATTCGTGGGAGTCAATGTTCGTGGGTAAGAAAAATTTTGTTGGTTCGTGGGGACGTATTTTCGTGGGTAACGCATATATACAGAAGATTCAATAAATGAATGCATTTATGAAATAAATGTTCGTGGGGTTGTAAATTCGTGGATAATGTTGAAACACGAAATCCACAAACATGCGATTTTATCCCAGTATATCATTTTTTGTTGATTCCATATCAGTATTTACCGAGATACAGTCCAAAATTATTCATTTATTTGTTTAATCTTTCAAATTCACTGATATAGCGAAGTGATCTTGGATTCCCAGCTATATAAATTTAATGAATTCCTAACATGGCTTCAACAAATTACGGATATAGAGAAGTGATTTCACAGGTCCCAATGACTTCGTTATAACAAAGTTTTACTGTATAAGTGTTCAAGATAGTATTTAGTTCAATTACATATAAAAAAATATATAGCGATCAAGTTGAAATTGGGAATCTCAAATATTGATAATCTTGAATGACATGGATATTTCAAAGTGAGTTGGATTATAAACTCAACCACTTTTATTACCTCTAAGGTAGTATCTCTAATCCCTGGATATCCCAAAGCTCTTAATTTTCCTGTCTCCGTTGTCAAGTTCAACATATCAAGGTTAAACTGTATATACGTATTGTATGTACCATAGTAATATAATAATAGTAATATATCTTACTAGTCACATTTTATTTCATGATATATCGGGGTTTTTTTTTTTTTTTCTGAAATGAACATGGGATGGGTTAATGGAAAGTTTCATTCAATAATTCATACATTTGAATTATTTTTTTGCTACTCTTTAATTTATCTATGACAAAATTAATATTACTCATGCAGATGTAACAATTAATTGTTTACATATCTTTTTGCACATGTTATGAATTAGAGGTAGATTATTATGTCAAACAGTAATATGAATATGTAAATGATGGATGCATTTAAGCAATGTCAATGCCCTCAAAACTTTTTCCACTCCAAAAAAAAAATTAATTTGGAATAAAAACTGAAATGACTGAATACATTTTATCTGATTATATAGTTTCAAGATTTTGAAACTGTCAAAAGCTCAGAATTAATATTGATAAACTCTTGATAGAATCTTCAACTGTACTTTAACAAATGACTTTTAATCATTAATAATGACACAAGATATACAGTAGGTTTTCAAACACCGGAAATTTTCGATCAGTTTGAGATAATACACGAGCAAAAATCACCAATGATTAATTACCTTATATTTTGTAAAGTGTTTACTAATGATAATATTATCATACAACTAATTTTTCTTATACCGAGTGTTGGTTTTTATAAAAAATTTTCCCCTGCAAAATTGAATTGGTATTTGAATTATCAAGCTGATTTGTATTATTTATTAACAAAAAAAATTAACATACAATTCATTTAAAGACATTGCAATAGAATCTGTCAAATTCGGCACACATGAACAGGGAAAAAAATGCATCAGAGAGTGCATACAGTGCAAAACTTGTCAATGGATCCAAAATATCATAACTATGAGAAAAAAAAAATTCCACACCCAATACTCTTGCATCCAAGGACGTGCAATTATTCAGGTATAATATACATGTATTATCATCATCAGACCCAAATATCATTATTGATGAATAAATTATTTTGTAACACTGGAGATATATAATAGTTTGGAGGCAGCATGCGTTAACACTATCACCTATCTGAGGAGTTTACACAGAGACAGTATTGAGGCAGGCAGACTCTCCTTCTAGAAGCCGAAACTGAACTTTTATCAACTGTTCTCAGATCCTAATTCAAAGGAACGTCTTGGATAAGTGGTATTTTTGAAATCAGGTGTTCTAGGATGGAAATCCACACTCTATCAGAATAACTGATGGCCAATAGGTGCCTCCGATCTTAGTTCGATAGATAAAAAGGAAAAATTCTCTTTTTCTTCTCTGATTTACAGAAGAGAAAGTAACTTGGTGGTTCAAACTGGAATTCTTAAAAGTATATGGACTTTATTTCCTAAAATTTATATGTGTTTTGTGCATTAGTGATTTTCTCAGGCTTTGGATATTTGCTATAATGAATCATCACTGTTTTTCCATGACATCCTGTATTTATGAAAATCAGAAGAACAGTTAAAATAAAGATTCTGAATATATAAATTTTTTTATTTAATAATATCAATCAAGATGACATGCAGAGTTCCTACTCTTATAAAAACTACAAAGGTGCCAAAATTAGCCATCAATTGATGAGCCAAAATTTTTTTCAAGTGTGTGCCCTCCTGTTGAGCTAATCTTTTAATCCAGAGATTAACATCAGCATTAATCTTCATAGAAGAGAAGCTGAAAGGATAACGGTATCGGCCCTCATTCTATTTGTTTCCTCTCTGTATTGGACCAGTCAGATAAACAATTGACTGCAGACACAGGTATGAGGACTGCATTGATGGAATAGATTGCTACTCTGTGTTGTGCTACTGGGGAGAGAGGACCAATTTACTACTGAATGTGATTCATGGACTTCAAATGAAAATAACTCCTCAACTCTCATAGTGTCTTCATAGATCAGGTAATTTAATTGTGCAAACTTTATCTGATTTAAAGTTAAAATATTTATCTCAATGAGCCTAACATATAACTTAATTTTAACTTAAAATTTAAAGTTATTATTACCTTTTTTTGTCTCCTTAAAGGAATGGGATCAAATATTTTGGGAATAAAGGTTTTTAGATAATTTTAAAGTTCATTCTTTTCTGATTCCTCAAGAATATAGAAAGACATATTGCTTTTGGGGAGAAAACAATATCTTTCTTGAAAATAAAAAAAAGAAATGAAATATGTTATTAATGTAAAACATGATTAATTTAAATAAATCTATCACTTCAATGGGGAAAATGACTTTTGATCAATATATGTTGCATATGTCAAATACATGTAACTTCTTTTTGCCTCAAAAATGTTGCTTTTTGGTTTATTAGTTCATACATATTCATTTTTTTCTCCGCAGGGAAAAAAAGTTATAAAAGTCGGAAGCAAAAGTAATTCTTTCAAGTGAGGAAAATTGATTTGTAGGAGAAGTGGAATTTTTTGTACTGAAACTGGACAACATTGAAAATTGGGAATTTTTACACAGAAAATTCACCAAGGATCTTCTTTTATTTCAGCTCATATGGAGTGTGCTTTCACCAATGGGGAAAAAATGAAAATCTGTTGTTCATCAATTAATCTGAATTGAAAAAAAAATCATTTGAAACTCAAAAGAGGAGCAAATTTTTTTTAAATGCCGATTGGGAATGTACCAGCATATGACAACATCACATTTACCCACGGAATGTTTGTGCTGGAAAACACCAGTTTTAATCGTAGGATCCACGGATGCCAATTTGATGCGGGAGAATTCAATGACACGGACAACTGTACCAGTATTCTCTCCATTGAAGATGATCAGAGGGGGTACAACTGGCCCATTCTACTCCTGACCCCCCTGATTTTTTTCGGAGTGGGAGGGAATATTTTAGTGTGCATGGCCATTTCTATGGAGAAACGTTTACAAACGGTGACCAATTACTTCCTTCTATCCCTGGCCATTACGGACCTATCTGTCTGTATCATTGTGATGCCATTCACAGTAGTAAATGATTTTACAGGTAAGGGCAGGTATGATGGCAAACTTAAATAAAATCAAAGAGCAACGTCCCATGGAGAATAATAATCAATTAATTACAAGCAAACAATTTACCATAAACAGGATTGTAAGTTATGCTACCCTCTCTGAGGGCAATTTTAGAAATCTTGAACTAGATACTTCCGTTTTCTGAAAAAAAAAAAATACCAATTACTAATTGTCAGGGGGTGCTTTAAAATAGAAATGAAAATTAGCTTAATCAACTCTGCAGCATGCAGCTTTGAACTAGAGCAACTTGTTAAAAGGAGATAAAGAAACTGCAGGGGTTTTTCGCTATTGTTTTTCTTTCATTAACATTGGCTTCCCTCACTATACGGCCAGTGTCTGCCACTGTAAAGGCTTAACAGAGAGCAGACCCGTACTAATCTTTCGGTGAAAGTGATAGCAGAACCCCCTAATGTGAAAGGTTGTTTGCAGAATTTGCATAATGCACATTCCTGGTGGAATCGCAGAAAGTGTCAAAATTGTCTCGGAGAGAGAGAGAGAGAGGAAGAGAGAGAGATTTGTTAATTATTCTTAATTCCTGAGAGAGAGAGAGAGAGAGAGAGAGAGAGAGAGAGAGAGAGAGAGAGAGAGAGAGAGAGAGAGAGAGAGAGAGAGAGAGAGAGAGAGAGAGAGAGAGAATCTGTAAATCAGAATGTCTGAGGAGAGAGAGAAAAACTGAAATGAAAGAGAGCAAAAATTAGAATCAATTTCAAGCAGAATGACACACAAAACTATGAAATATATTTCTTTTCTCCTTTTCCTAAAACTGAATAAGAAATAAAATGTGCATAAAAACCCAATGCAAAATTAATTTCTAACATTCAAATAAAAAATAAGTGTAATAAATTCAATTTTCTATAAAAGCGCTAGGCTACTACTTGGAATTACATTTTTTTTCTGTAATTAAAGTCTTCAAAAGTAAATGCAAGGCATCGGCCTAGTAAGAACTATTTGATATACTGAATATCCAGCCTCCCTCTCTTAGATCGCAGAAAACGGGCTGAGCTACCAAAATGAGAGATAGTAACTGCTTTCTCTGGATTTCATATAACTCAAATCTTTACATTTACTGAAATGTTCTCTGTTAATTAATTTACAATGATGCACCTGAGACAACATCAAATCCAGGAAGTTATCAGATTCGTGAAGGGCTGGACTTTAGCTGTATGCTTATAATCAGAAAAGCTAATAGCTAGTAGAAACTGTGTCAAATAATATTTAAATAAGATGAGGTACCAGACCTACATAGTAAACTTATTCCGTTTCCTTAAAACTTGCATGTATTTTTTCCAAAATGATGGCTTATCATGGGCTAAATAATATGCACAGTAATGCTCAAATTTCCTAAATAAATATCAAAATCAGCAATTAATTCATTCTAAACTTAACTGAGTTGAGTGAGTTCTGATGAAAATTTGCACAAAAAATGAATGTTTCTTAACAAATTATTCTCAACTTGATGTCCCATTCTCTGAAATGATTTTTCTTTTTTCATCCTAGCATTTTTCTCCCTAGATTGATAATTATGCACTGTGCATGATATTTTACAATTTTTTATGCATAAATTTGGCTCTAATTATGAGATAAAAAAGGGAACAATCATTGCAAATACATTCCTCCCCAATAATTATTGGGTGTAATTGATGGTCTACTTAAATAACACCGATATCTTGTGTGCAAAAAAATTATCTTAATATTGAAATGGGCAAGAGAATACATGTACTAATTGTGTAAGATAAAGTGTCATCCAATTTCGCTTTAATTAACATCAACATTAAATGTTAAATCACTAAAAAGATAAACCAGTAATTGTAAATAATTGAATGCAGCATCATCCCATGGATGCTCAGACTATAATGCTGCCACTTCTAAATCACATAAAAGCAATAAAGATTTGCAGGAAAGTAATTTGCTTCTTGAAAATAGCATTTCATTTTCTGTAGATGCATGTATTCCCCCTGGTGATAAATATGTCGTGTGCAAATAATCTTTCTTCATCTAAATCATCCCCTCTCAAGTACAGACACATAGGGTGATTACAAATTAAAAGAAATTTTCTCATCTAAAGCACACTAATTTTTTTCTCACACTTTTCGATGCCACTTATCTTTTATAGAACAGATTGAAAAACCCTATACATCAATACAAGTACATGCAACTTTAGCTACAAGATCATGTGTTAGAAATGTCAGCTGCGATAAAATACCCTATTTTGTTTTTCATCAAGATATCAGAAAAATCTGATTTCTGATATCTGTGTACAATTCCCCCCACGAGTATCCCTAAATAATTAACCCTCGACAAACGTCCAGCATTGAATATATCAACAATCTGAAAACAATTCGGAGCTTTCAAAAGCCTGAAAATGCATGCCTTCCAAAAAACTCATCCAAAGGGGAAATTGTCTGACATCAGGGTAATATTTCTTAATACAAAAAATTCCTTGCTTTCATACTAAGCAAAGCCAGCCTATTCCCTCTTTAATATCTCTACTCATCTTTCATGCAAGCATGAAAGAAGGGAAAAAAATTATCGCAGAAGCTGGTCAATTCCAATCTCTCTCTACGGTTCCTTTGTTCTTCCAGGAATTGCTCTGGCCTCTGTTAACCTTTCATTAATTGTTGCTGTTTAATATAGTCTGCAGAAGGTGCTTATAAATATGGAATTTCTCCCTCTATATTGCAATAATTCAGCTGGGAAAAAAAAAATCAGTCATTTTGATGAGCATTCACCCCTACCATGACACCGACCAAGACCTTATTTATACCGAGTTAATCTAATTTAAAAGGGTTCGAAGGATCAAAGTCTCAGCGCCATCTACAAGGAGTACACACTTCATACACCAGGACTAAATGCACTCCGTTCATTTCAACTTCCTAAATAACTGCGTATGACCTTGTTGAAATTTGATTAAAAATCAGAGAAAGGTGACTGAGCGATTTATAAAGGGAGATAAGTCTAAATTGAGTTCCTTTATTGCCGATGCTCAGCAGGATACAATGAGGTGAAATCGTTTTTCCCGTCTCTTTGAAGTCAACTCTAAGGGTTCTAAACGATATGCCTGTTATTGATGATATAAATGCTTTGAAATAATTTTTCCAGAGATTCAGCACAAGATGAGAATGCAACTACAGAGTGATTAATAGAGTTTTGTACCTAATTGGTCGTGCCGACTACCTTGACAAAGGTTTAGGACAGAGTTTATGATCATATTTATAGTCCATAGGTTTGTTAGTTACTATACAAGATGAACAGGACTGTATAATATATAATGATCAATTACTCTAATTATATTGCAGGCCTATTTGAACAAAGTGACCTCGAACTGCCATTATTTTCCTTGAAGAAAAGTTAATCAAATTGGAGAACATATTTAGGGCAGTAACACCTTATTGCACTGGCAGACTTGTAGACCCAGGGGGGCTAACTCTCACTTTTATGACCAAAAATATGCATATTAAGATTAAGAAATTAATTTTCTATTGTTAGATATTGTGCAATTATTATTATGTCCCCCAGGCCCTTAACCCCCTCCCCCCTTTCTTTTTTTTTTAATTTGGAACTAATCTGCAATTTTTACCTTCTTTCACTTTCTATCAGCTAAATGTAAAATAAGGATTAAAGTAACCCTACGTCTGTGGCACCGGAAACAAACTACGCAGATACCAAACAAATCCACATAGTCCTTACAATATTTTAGCATTCAGTCATAAATTCTTCAGATTAGTAATCAGAACAGCAAAGACAAATTCTTATCATGTGTAAGATGACTAGGAATTAACATGATTTCTGCAATTAGGTAACACCATTCCTGCAGATTTTCTGGTATATATCTATATCATAAAACTATGAAGCTGATAGACTTTCTAATTCTGAACAGATTTATTTATGAATCAAAGGAATAGTTTTATGAAGAAAATAATAATAAATGCACTGGGAGCAAAGGGGAACATAGTAAGAGCTCATAGTAAGAACAATATTTTAATAATATTGAAGTCTCCATTGAAATGAATGAAAATTCATATATACAGTTGTCGCCCTCATGGCGCACTTGGGTTAGAGTGTCTGCTCTAGAGTCTGAAGTAAGGAGACGATCCTCACATCCCGGGTTCCAATCCCACTGTGGGACGTGGAGAGACTGGAGACTGGTCCTTCGTATGAGAAAACAAGGTCCCCTGTTGCAGTAGGTGCTATCACAAAAAAGATCCCTCACTGCTCAATGGCCCTGAGTGCCAAGTATAGGACAAAACTTGCAGCTCTCCACCGGCAAGTGGTGGCGTCTCCAAACAAGTGAAAAATTCTCAAGAGGGACGTTAAACAACATACAATCATTCAACCAATCAATATTTCAAACCTAAAAATATTGTTAAGTTTTTTTCTTTGTCTCATTGAGTTTGAAAGAAAAAAGATTTTGACTGCTGTATATAAGACCCTTCTTTAAAAAGTTTTGCAGAGCATGAGCTCATGTGAGTTAGTTGATCACTTAAATAGCAGATTGTGTTTTTCTCTTTAGTTAGATTAATTATCACTAGATGTAATGGCTTAGAAACTTGTTGAAACAAATGAGAAGGATTTATGAGATTTCTAATATCACATTTTTTGGCAGCAACTTAAATCACCACGGCTTAAAAGTTGTAATCTGAATGGAAATTTCCCCCAAACTTAATACAGAGCCACAAGTTCTCTCTCTCTCTCAGCTTTCCCTAAGTTTTCATTCTACTTTTAGCAGTGTGATACACTCACTGCCTCCTCATTTTAATTTTCACCTGCCCTTTATGCAGGGAATGTGGTTAATTAGAAAATATCTCACACCTCACATCCAAGGCAGATAGCTATAGACTGGAATTTTCGTATAGGAAACTTGATTTACTTTGCAACAGATAAAGATTTAATTAGGATTCGTCTGTGCTTCACTGAATTTTTTTCTTGCCATTTCTTATTTAGCTATATCATATTAACACCTCTAAAGCATCATTAGCCCAGTGGAACAGGGAGAAGAAAAAAAAATGGTGTACATGAAAATATTTTTTCAACATTGGTCAGAATATTGGCCTGTGGTGAAAACATGACAGCTGGAATGTTTGAATTTCTGTTGCCAATGTCAGTGTTTCTTGTTTATGATATTGTGCCCTATTAAACCTGATAGTTCTAAGAAATACAAAAATGTGGGCCTGGTTCAATATGCTAAAGCAGAAAAAACACTGGTCTGGGTCAAATATTTACTCCACTAATCCTGATAAATAGTCACTAGGTACAGACTAACATAAAACATTATATATACCATCACCATTGATTCCATCAGGTGTAAGTCTAAATTTCACTTTTGGTGTACATAATACCACAAAAAATTTTAATTTGATCCCCCCCCCAAAAAAATTGTCTTTTTTGAGAACATTTTAACTCTATGACAAGAACAATTTGGGAATTCAAATCCATATTTACCATCCAGTGGAAACCCTCTTTTCAGATTTCATGTTATATTTTATGAGAAAGCCAATTTTTACAATTTTCGAAATGATTAATTCAAGAAATGCACAGCTGAGATTTGCACACAATCTATACATGCTAAATAGACACTCAATTGTCCAAAACATCCTTAAGTCGTACAATCTGGCAGGAAGCATTAACTGATTTGACTTTTTTGTTTTCTAATGGTTCATTTGTTGGTCAATTCGTTTATCTAAGGTGAATGGAAGTGGCACTACCCATGCATTTTACGAGTCTTGAAGTGTGTTTACACACCAAAAGTTACTCAGTGTAAAAATTTATACTTATTCTTTTTTCATGTCCTATCTTTCAATTTTCATTCATGCGGAAGCTAATTATGCATGTACCGTCGAGATTCGTTTCCTGTAAAATTTGTTTTTCTTACACAAAGGTCTTTGACTTTTGTATCCAAAAAATTTTACATAAAAAAAAAATGATTTCACTGATCATAATATGATGAATCCGATCATAAAAAACCTGAATATTACAGACATTGCAAACCAGTCCCTGAAAAATACCTCTGAATTAAAAAGCCTGCTCCTCTCTATGCGTGACCAATGCTACAGCTGACAAGAGTACATGAGAAATGATCAAGATAGGAAGAAATCCATTTGTCTGCGCTGATTAACGACTTACTTCTGCCATATTTTATCATATAGCTGAATATGATGTACCGGGGAAAAAATAATAATATACGCCTCCTCCTCTGTATCGCATTTCCATAACTGTCATAGTGTCTTATTACAGGAAGAAAATGCTACCGATATATTCTTGTATCTACCCAGGCATGTCTTTTATAGGTGTCTCGTATTACAGACAGGAAATGCTACAGATATATTCTTATATATCTACCCTAAAATCCAATTCCATTATTGAAGTCATTGACTATTATAGTGCATGCTCACAATCATTGGAAAATATGTAAATTAAATATTTTTATTACATAATGCTTTTCTAGAGTTTGACAAGAATTAACTTTGCATTCAGAACAAAATCATTTAACTCTAGTGGAAAAATTGATTTGTGTAAGATTGTCTTTAAGATCACCAGTTTGTATGAAAAGTCATATGATTTTTGATCGAATTAAGAGCTCAGATCTCCTTAAAGTCAACAGACTATGAACCAGTCTTAAAGAATTAGTATTAATCATCAATCTCATTTAGCCAGAATTATCCTCCAAAATAACACTGAAAATCCATAATAAACGTAACTCCAGCTACCAAGATAATCGCGTAATCAATTACCAACCATGATGCAAATGGTCTCTTTTCAATGCAATTCCGAAAATTCAGACCAAGGTTTATTGTCCATGGAAGGAAACAAGGATTCCCGCAATAAAATTGGACGTACAATGGAACGATGGGTCCTTGGTCTAAACAAGGGGACTATCCCATATTATATGTAATCTTTCTTTTTTCTATCAAGGTCCATAGGGGCACGACTATTTATTGACAAATAACACCAGAAGTGAATGGAAAAATAAAAGCCTGATAGCCTTGAATATCAATTATATAGAAAACGTTATTCAAGAGAAGACATTATAGGATTAAAAAACTCTGTAAACAAATTTACTTTCTATGTGTTTCTATTGATAAAACATATTTCATATAGGATATAAACAATTTTTGCCAAATAAAATGTTGTCATTAAATGATTTCCAATTCAATCATCAATTGGAAATATTAATTTATTACTTACGAAAAACCTTGATTGCTTTTTTCACAACATGGAATAATTAAATGATAAAGCACATTCATATGTATTGACAAATCGCAAACCTTGGGCATCACCAATATAAATGTAAATTCTGATCCTTATCATGTTTGTTTTTGTCCTTTTATAGTTTTGAACTCCTGACCATTTCTTCCTACAGTAAAAATACGCTTAGAGTGAACATGCTTACGGCAAATTGGTGCTTATAAAAGTGATTTTCATTCATTGAATTATTTATTCCAGTTTTTGACTTCCTGTTTGCAATGACTTATGGGTGCCCTCACATTCACTCTGATCCTCATTTAAACAAGTTTAGAAGTTCATACAAGTATTTTAAATGTTAATGTGTATTTACATGATGAATTTTTTAATTACAATGAACAACTATCACTGTTAAGAACAGGACTCAAATACAGTTTTAATAGAAACCTTTTCTCAAGTCTCCTAGCTTAAATCTGAATTTATATTTCTTTAAAAAAATTGCTTGAAATTTCTAATTTTAATAAAATGTTTGATTCAATTTTGCAAAACATTAATATATTTCATGATTTTTTTATCTCTTTTTCAGGGTACTGGTTTTTTGGACCAATCATCTGTAATTTATACGTCACTGCGGACGTCTTCATGTGTACAGCTTCCATCCTTCATCTTTGTACCATATCACTAGACCGATACATGGCAATCAAATCACCTCTAAAATCCAGAAACATCTCCAAATCTGTGGTCATCATCAAACTAGCAATAGTGTGGGTCATTTCTCTGGCCATTTCTAGTCCCATTACCATACTAGGTTTCATTAACGAGAGCAATGTGTACTCTAATCATCACTGTGCATTATCCAATGGTAATTTTAAAATTTATGGATCTGTTTGCGCTTTCTTCATTCCGTTATTTATCATGGTTTTTTCTTACGGGTTGACACTGTATACTTTGATAAGCCAATCACACAAGCTTCATGCTCAAGGAAAAGAAAACGACGAGCCTGTCATTCGAAGATCGTTGAGCCGGAAGCCATTGAAACACGGGACCAGGGTACGATTTCAGGCCAGAAAAAGGAACAGAAGTCATAATCAAGAAGAGGCTGAGGACCAACTGTACACACCTATCATCAATCGCAAATCCAACCCCAAATCGTCCATGCATTCAAGTGTAGAGAACATTTCAGAAACGTCTAGTCCCCGAGGCATGGGTGCCTCATCACCATTAATAGATAACCAGCAACTCCAATCCCCCCCAAATCTCATGAAAGAATTAGAAATGTCAGACTCCAATTGTCATTTAAATCTGGACCAAAGCCCAGGTGATAAGTCCAAAAAAGTAAAACCGTGGACAAGATCGAGACTAATTATACCGAACGGCCACACAAGCAACCTTAGGGGACTTGTCAAAAAACACCAACTGGTCTTAAAGGCCACCAACATCTTGCTATTAAAAAAAGCTCACATAAAAAAATTAGACGATGTTCATACTGAGCAAAAAGCCTCTAAAGTGATAGGAATTGTGTTTATTATATTCGTGGTGTGCTGGGCGCCATTCTTTGTTCTCAATATCATGACCCCCTTGTGCGAGGACTGTAGCTTCGAGCCTGCATTGTATGCATCCTTTAACTGGCTTGGCTTCATTTCAAGCACACTGAATCCCATCATTTACACCATGTTCAACAAGACCTTCAAAATGACCTTCAAGAAACTTCTGTTGTGTCGCTATGACCGTATCCAACGTAAACAGAGAGTGCGGAGCTGGATTCTTAGCAACGGTTCTCTTTACCACAATGGCTCCGATTCTAATAATAGCATTGATAAGTTTGAAACACCTTGTTAATTTTTCATCACTGGTCACAAGGTCATGACCTTGACCTGTGAAGAGGAATATTAAAATATGGCTGCAAGTGGAAATGTGAAGAAGGATATACCTTTAGGTTTTAAATATTGCATATAAATTAAAGTGAGATTTTCATAGATTTTTCTGTTCTTTTTTAAACAATGACCACGCATCTCAGATTCAGACTTTCAAAGGTTCAAATTCCTTTCAATTAGTCTCAATTTTTAATGTAAAGATCTTGATTAATAAATGGACCTTGGCTCTACTTAACAGTGAATTTGATATTACTTACTAAAGATATTTCAAGCTGTGATAAAATTAAAACTCCATCGATTTTGATATTATATTTACTTTGCATGTTTCATTGTAATCAAATTGCTATAACATTAAAGTATAGCAAAACCATTATGGGCGTTTCTTATTTACCATAAAAAGTTAATGTTTTTAATTTTCGTAGACTTCTTCCCACTTGACAACAAAGGCAGGTCACTGATCTATAGTTATGAGGAATATCTGCGTGACAATATATATTTTGCATAAAAGGGCACCCCTTTGACATTTCATGTTTCACGGTGCTAGCTTTGACCCTCATATTATATTCTAGTCCGCCACTCCTTGGTATTACGTCTTTCATTTGCAGTACCCACGACATTTATTACAAAATTCCGAGATAAAAATAAGTAACCAATTGATTACTTATAAGGTTTAAACATGTTCTATTCGACGGTCTAATGATTTATCTGGGGACCCTTTAAAGCATAGGATTGAACTACGAAGTAACCAACATAAAGTTCTTCATCAAAGGAAAATGTGGAACAAAGAAAAATCTTCACGTCATCAGTTTTTACGTAAACACATGACACGGGTACACCCTATCCCTACTGCCCGCATGACCTGACCGCATCAAAGGGGAACACTTCCTCCCTAAATATCTATTTCTGAAGTACGGCAGCAATTGTTATTGAATTATTATTTAAATGCTTCGGAGATGAAAAAAGTTCCTGTCATAAAAGAAATTGCTCTTGAAAGGAAAATTGTTTCATAAATCATGAATTATGTGGGCATGCAGTCTTGGTGTGTTGAAACATATATCTTTATATTTTATATATATTGTTCAAGAGTACTACAGATAATTTAATACGAGAATTGCAATATCATATCTCCGATATCATTTATCCAGTAAAATATCAATCTTCAAGCTGATTCCGATAAAAAAGAAAATTATTACATTCTATATATCACTGATTCAGACATGCAGCTGATAAAATTATGATTCTTTTTTGAATGGCAAGACATGCAAACTCTTCAATTACAAGTTTTATAGGTCAAGGATGTGTACGTAAAGATTCAAACTTTGGATATTTTCTTCCTGCGAATACAACGTAAAAAAATCCTTAAAGAGCTGATTCAGAAGTGAAAACTGCAGCATGCTACCAATCAATTGATAATCTCCAGTAATTTTCCAACAACTGAATCTACAAAATACTTAATGAGTAAATTGAGAGAAAAGTCAATGAAAACAATCTGAAAAAAAAAAACCTGCCAGCGTTTTTATCAGCCATCGCTTTGAGAGTGGGATGAAGATCTGATAACATTAGCAATTCCACTTCAAACATTTTTAGAATCGTCTTTTTATGCAATGTTAAAAAGTGTTCAAAGATACAGAATGACGGGCAAATAGTCTTCTCTCTTTTTCTAATCACCATTTTTTGTTGAAATTTTGTTTTCAAGCTTAAAATTGAGTTTTATATACTACTAATCTAAAACTTATAAGATATGACATCTCATCAATTGGTAATTTAATAATCAAATCGCAAAATATTATAACACTTTATATTCAGTCCTTTTTCCATACAGAATATGAAAATATTTTCTATTCACTTCCATAAGTACATGTATTTGAAAATAAATATGTTTGATGTCATTAAGCCCACCTCCCTTTACAATGATGTCTCATATCATGTGAACGCTGACAAACTGACATCTTCACAGATAACTAAAGCTACTAAATTCCTCAAGCTTTCACTTTTATCATGATTAACAATGTGATAACAAATAAAGATCTCCTTTCCCTGTAGACTGAAGAAAAAATGATAAATTTGCAACTTTAAACTCTTGGAGAGAAAACATATACCACCTTCACGCCAACGCGTAACACTGAGCTATTCCTATACAACCAAAAATAAACAAGATAGCTTTGACTTTTAAATCTAAAATGAACCTGTTGAAATCAATTACAAGAAGGGAAGCAGTTTATATGCTTTTTTTGTTGTTGTTGTACTGCATGTTTGGCATCATGGGAAACTTTTCAGGGGATCAAAGGTCTCGAAATCAAAAAGTTCCATTTTGACGCTCCTGACATATACTGCCATGCTAAGTGAAAAGTTAGTCATAAACTTCAAAGTGTGGAATATAGCACAAAAAAATGCATCTTATCTAAGGAAGCAATGCACTAGAGGAAAGTGTTCACATTTATCTACCAACATTTCCTTAAACAAAACTTTCTGAACTTAATAACTTTTAAAAATTCAAAATGTCCCTACTGAATAATTAATATGTTGTATGTCATATATTATGTATATTTTTATCAAAATTAATAGTAAGAGAAAAAAGTTTTGAGTACCTACTAATCATAATTTTTGGCATGTTACCAGAAACAAATTTTTTTTTGTTATTGGCCTAATTGATTTCATGAAAATTATAAAGTATCCTGGGAGAAGGCACCAAATTTAAATATGACCAATTAAAAAAAGAATGTCCTTGCTGCATTATTTAAAAGATTTCTTTTTAATTTCTTCTATCCAATAAAATTATTGTTTATAAAACATCTTTTTCAATTACACCTGCATGATTAACAAATATTTACCCACCATAAAAATAACACTTTTACATTAAAACTATTTATATTGCTAGAAAAAATTCAATTAATAAGAATTTTTTCTGTGTTTTATTTATGGTGAAAAAAGATGGTGAATGATATTCCAAGATATAAATGCCTGTAAGGCTAATTACCTGTTACTAAAATTCTTACCTATCACCTGACTAAACAGATTTTTCTGTGATACTTTTTCTGTGTAAGTAATCTTACCTACAAAAGAAAAAAAAAAGATGCCAATGAAAGATGAACTATTCATCACATAATAATTGGAAGGAAAAAAAATTCCACAATAAAAATTTTAATTTTATTATAATTGAGCTTTGAATAATCAAATTTTTCTTCTTAATAATTACAAAGACTTCTGTCTAGCTGCAATAATGTAGTCTATGTCTTCTTAAGGGGAAAGGGGGAGGGGGGGATATCAGATAAAAAAAGATTGGAGAGGGCTACATTATTGCAGTTGAAATACTGCACAGACATCAATGACCTTTCTGTCCTCATAATTGCAAGAGACCTTATCATCATTGAAGCTTAAGTGATACACAGACTTGAGGGATAAAATGCTATATTGATATTAGCATTTTTCATAATCCATACACTTAATCTTATCAGTGTAATGGACTTTAGTTATTAATTAATTATCTCAAAATACCGTACAATATTTTGGCCTGAGAGATAGCCATGTGATTAAATAATCTTTTCTCAAAAAAAAATTCATTAACTGCATTTTATTTATTACACTATCTGCCTCACAATAGGTAAACACAAGGTCAAAAAGTCAAATAGAGTTGTACAAAAAAAATCCAATAAAAAAAAATTCACAAACCCAGGAAACCCAAGTTAAATGAGCATAAAACCATAACAATTACAAACAGCAAATAAAGACTGTATGCTCTCAAGTTCTTTAGTTGTTGTTTTATGTTTCCAGGAAAGTGACGGCAAAACCCCTAACACCAGAGAGTCTACAGGACTGCCATACTATAGAAGAGATAAATTTACGCATTTATCGGAGCCTTTTACTTTGACTGCGTTTGCAAGGGATTATCATTACCCAACACTGATCTCTGTTCTCAATAAAAAAACACTTCCTGCTGGTCGCTAAAAAAAAAACAAAGTCATATACATGAAACAATAATAACAGTATTCCTTGGAATTATTCAGGAACACGATGCCGTAGTGAGAAGGATGTGAATGAACTTTTGTCTCCTTCGGAAAAAAAAGTGAAAATTAGTCCGACCTTTTGTTGTGAAAGAGAGGACTAATTACATATTTTGTACACAATCATTTAAGATAATTATCAGGAAATGAACTTAGATAACCACAATTTAGCTTCCAACAATACCAAAGAGACAAAAACAACAAGAAAATTCTACAAATAACTATAGATAAAGAGATCGACGAAAGATCTTTTTTTGCAGTGAAAAAGTATTCCTGCTGCACTTGGTGATGCAATATCTCATCTTTCAATGTATATTAGTAATCTGATAAAATGCGCTTTGTTCTTTGAATTTTCTGTTCCCATATGATGTACAGTAACTGGTGAGCTGAAAGCAAACTTTGGGCTATAAGCACTCTGAATTTGCAATATGGTATTGATGCTGTAAAATTTACACTGATCCGTAATTTACAAATCAAATATACAAATTTATAGCTATTATTATTATTCTTTTTTTTTTCGGTCTTTGTTATACGTAAATAATTGTTTCTTAGGAAAATCTCATGAAATTTGATAAAATTGAAATTTTAACTCTGAATAAGGTTGACCTGCAGTATCAAATGTAGTAATTGGTCAAGACTGCAAAACTTTCATGCCTAAATGAATTCAGTATGATTACAAGCAAATGAAGCAAAAGAACACAATTAAGCTAGGCTGGCTTTAGATACAATAGTCACTTGAGTGAGCAAATAGAAAAACAAGATTCTGACTTAATCTTGGAGTGCCCTCAGCTGTTGAAGTAATATGGAGAGGAAATTGTTTTGGGTCTTAAATCTCTGACTTATTGTCTGGGTATTCTAGCTCTTAAGAGTATTATTTTAAGGAAAGCACATCCTACATTGATAATGGGTGTGGCAAGCATTAGCCTAAACTACCTGTTCATTTCTCTTAAGAGAATAATTAGATGTGGACAGGCATAGCCTAAATTAATTGTCCACTTCTCTAAAGAGAATAAAGATGTGGACAGGCATAGTCTAAATCACCTGTTCACTTCTCTAAAGAGAATAAAGGTGTGGACAGACATGGCCTAAATTACCTCTTCACTT